CCCCAAAACCCCAAAACCCCAAAACCCCAAAACCCCAAAACCCCACTAGTGAAAAATTAAGTTTTGGTTGGGTAAGTGAGATAAAATTCTTATCAGTCGTTAGAATAGTAGTGATTAGTACTATTAATTGGTATCTTTGCTAGTAAATATAATCTTAATTTTAAAACAAATAAACAATCACAATGGGCTGCGGATCATCATCAGGCGCTTCAAACGTAAGCTATTCTCTTATTCAAACCTTTATTAACCATTATTGTATAGCCTGGGTATGATCACTTCCTTTGTTATATTTACTTTTAGAGTTGAAGACTAACAATTCGTCAAAGAAAGAGAGGCTAAGAGAGTCAAGTTCGACAAGAAGACTGGAAAGGCCGTAACTGTTACAGGACCAAAGGATAAACCAGAATCTGTAACTCTATTAGTAGTATAACCGATTGTATAGGATTTCTTCGAGGCTGTTGAAGCTGGACACGGAGAGCAATTTATGGCAGTTAGACCATATCTCGGTGCCATTATGGAGCCCGCCAATCGTAATTTCATAACTTCCATTTTCAAATCTAATCTTTCTTCTAGACCCACCCCCCAACCCAGCTGCCCCAGATATTAGATATCAATTGGAGTACGTTTATGGTTACAGATGTGCTGATAGCAGACAAAACGTCTACTTCAACTCCGCTGGTCAAGCCGTTTACATGACTGCTGCTCTTGGAGTCATCCTAGATCAATCATCAAACACCCAAAAATTCTTCGGTGGTGGTCAAGTCGACAACACTGCTAAGAACGTTGCCAACGACGAGCAAGCACACACTGATGATATCACTTCAATCAGCATCTCAAGTGACAGAAGCTGGGCCGCCTCAGGTCAAGTTGGATCTGCCCCATCTGCTTTCGTCTGGAACTCAAGAACCGGAGAGAAGAAGCAAAGATTTAAGCTCAACAAAGGTGCTAGAGGAGTTAACGCTATTGCTCTCTCTAACGACAGCAAACTCGTTGCCTGTGTTGATCTCCACGATGAACACAACGTCTATGTCTACGATGTCGACACTGGTGCCATTAAAATGAGAGAAAAGGGAGATACCAACAAGATCTTCGATATCTGTTTCTCAGCCAAGCCAGGTGACAACTCATTCGGTACTGCTGGTTCAAAGCACGTCAAATTCTGGAATGCTGATTCAATGAAGAACGAGAAAGGTATCTTCGGAGGAAAGGGAGAGCAAACCAGTTTCGCTTGCATCGCCTACGACAGCAAGGGTGTTGCTTACACTGGTGGTGTCAACTCACAAATCTACGTCTGGAGCGGCAGAGACCTCCAGAGCACCATCAAGGCTCACCAAGGTGGATTCATCTGCGCTCTTAGATTCGCTGAGGGTAAACTCTTCTCAGGTGGTAAAGATGGTAACATGGCCATTATCAATGTTGATACACTCTCAGTTGAAAAGACTATTAGCTTCGGAGGTGTCTTGATCAGAGCTATTGATGTTATGGGATCTAAGTCACTCGTTGGTCTTAGAGACGGTACCATCTATGAAGTTGAGCTAGGAAATGGTAACAAGAAAGTTATCATGGAATCTCACTCCGACGGAGAGGTTTGGGGACTCGCCCCAGCTGGAGACAGCCACGTCGTCACCTCAGGAGATGATAACAAGATTAAGGCATGGAACGTTAACTCAAGAAAGTGTGAAGCCACTGGCAAAATCTCAAGTGAGACTAGAAAGGCCCCAAGAGGTGGTGCTTCATCATTGACTGAGCTTCCAGACTCACAATGCGCCAGAGCTGTTGCCCACAATCCAGGTAATGGTCATATCGCTGTTGGTCACAACGACGGTACCCTCACAATTAGACAGGCTGCTAACAAGCTTAACGACATTGTCCACACCAACCAAAATTCACAAGAGTGGATTGAAGCCATTGAATACTCCCCAGATGGATAAAAGCTCGCTGTTGGTTCTCACGACAACAATATCTATATTTACAGCGTCCCAGACTACAAGCTCCTCGGAAAGTGCACCAAGCACAACTCTTTCATCGTTTCAGTCGACTGGAGCAAGGATGGAAACTTCATCAGATCAGTCTGTGGTGCTCATGAACTCTTGTTCTTCGATGGTAACTCATTCAACCAAGACACCAGCGGTGCTACCAACACTGTTGAAACCGACTGGTAAACTTCCCACGCCAAGTACGGATGGCTCGTTGACGGTATCTTCCCAGGCGGCACTGACGGAACCCACATTAATGGAGTTGACTTCTCTAAGGATCACAGCCTTATTGCTACTGGTGACGATTACGGTCTTGTCAACATTTTCAGAAACCCAGCCAGAGGTGGTCACAAGCCAATCTCACTCAGAGGTCACTCAGAGCACGTCGTAAGAGTTGCTTTCCACAAAAACGACTCATACCTCTTCTCAGTTGGAGGTTACGATCAAACTCTTATGCAATGGAAGAGAGTCTGAAAATGAATAAGATTAACATTTTAATTGCTTATATCTAAGATAAGTTAACTTCTAAACTTTTTTCTAGTAATTTATGCGTTACATACATTTCTTAACGTCTAATTTACTCTAATCTTATATCAAATGGGGTTTTGGGGTTTTGGGGTTTTGGGGTTTTGGGG